AGTCATAAAATATTCTCCACTTTCCAACTGCTTGTCAATCTAAAAAAAGCTGCTGTATCAAAAAAAATAATCAAATAAGAACAAGATAGTAAGAAGTAAGCTCAATAGAGAAGAGATTCGGATTACACAAGAAAGCAAATTCGAATACAGGAAACGACCAAACCTTGCTAAGAGTAGGTGCAGGAGGGAATGGAGTGTATTCACCCTTCTTCTTCCAAGCCCGTTTCTTTTTCTTCTTAGCTTCGTTTGTGGAGGATGAAGATTGTATCTACAAACTTTTTTTATTCGGCACCAGCCTAAGTTGCACCTTAAAAACATACCTTCTTCTTGAAATTAGGTAAAAATCGTTCCCAGTTCTCATCTTTCAACTTTTCGTTTTTCATAAGTTCACGTTTTATCATCAGAGTCTTTATATTGTATATGGGATGAATGTTGTTCATACAATCCGTCACTATAGCACTGAAATTTTGAATTAAACCAAGGAGACAAATTCGAAAGGAAGATGGACACCCACCTCACTTGCTTCAGGCCTGCTAACGGTCCGATTGCACACACTGTGCCGCCTTGAATGCAAACATAACACTGTGTAAGTAATTCCATAGCTTTAAGGGTAGCACCGTTATTACCAACTAAGCGAGCTCGTCGTTTGACAAATCGTTCCTTATTTGGACACTATAACTCCAGAGATAACATAAATGGAGGAAAGTGACACGAATTGAGGAAACATTTTTCATATAGTAACGTACCATGGACGATATTTTTATTATTTCACAGAATACTTCGTCTTCCAAAACACGAATAGCATGTTCATACGGGACACTACGTGACATGAGCTTCAAAACGTCGCGCGCTTTGATTAATATATAAGGATCCCACGTCTTGCGCGTTGTACTGACAGTCATTGTACCTGAAAATGATTTTATGATACCCTCAAGACAAATCCTACTTTTCTTCACCGCGCCCCGGCACTGATTCTATCATGCGATTGAGGGACAAGGTTGCGTTAGAGAACTCGTCACAGAGCGCGTAATGTTGTAACTACTCTTCTTGTTGGGGCACTTTTCTCTGAAGCGTTGAGGGTGCTATCTTAGTAGGGGGGACCATGCGGCAGGCGCGGCGCTCTGTTCGTCTGCTCCTCCAAGGCTTAGTCCCAGGGGCAGTTACTATTTCGCCATCACGTGGCAGTTTCGAAATACGCGCCATCGGGGACTAAACCTTGGAGGAGAGGACGAACGGAGCGCCGCGTGCACGGTCCCCCCTCCCAACTAAGATAACACCGGGTGGAGCTGTTTGAGGTCTAGAAACGCAGAAAATGGCTGGTCCTTGGGCGTTCATGGTCAGGTCATCCAATCGCAACGACCGCACAAGCGCGGTCGCACAGAGGAGGCGAAGTGGCACCCCAGTGCAAATCCAAACAACACATGAATGCGCGTCACGGCATTTCGAGAGTCCGATTGTTCGAGTGTGGAGTAGTATATGCATACATATCGATCGAGCAACTATTGCAGTGTAACAATCGTTAGCCACAACTCGTCGACAGTGATCGCATGTGACCCTACGCAGACGTCATCGCATACGGTATCGCTGTTTTAGATGGTTAACTGCTCATGATTTCACCATTGATGCACTTGCTCAGACAAAAAAACCCTAAGAGTGCCTAACTGGATGAAATTAAAGCTAAACCGTTGCAAGTAAAAAGATCAAGGTTTTCTCAAAAAATGTTCGCTCCATGGTGTATTTCTACTAGCGGCCAACTCTCTTTGATATATTTCTCACGTATTTGGGAAACAGGCAAGAAAAAGAAGACTCTGCTACCAGACCGCCCGGGTTGTCCTCCTGCAAAAAAAATTATGAACACAAATGGTAGAAAACTGTCTCTTAACCATAAAAAAGATAAACCATGCTCAAACTAACCTTGTTAAATGTAGAAATGTCCCACCAATGAGGGTCTTTTCTGGCACCAAACGTGCTCGCCGTTGGCTTACGGTCAACCCGCTCCTCATTCTCGTCCGCCCAGTCGGGTTCGAACTCACTTTTCTTTTTAACTGACGCCATCTGCAGTGAAACGCTTGAAGGGCTCCGGTCGACGGACTATTTGAACTCAGTCCTTTAAGCTGCATCTCGACACTTTCGTCTGCGCTCTTTCACCATATCAGCGACTCATGACCACTGTGATCTCATACATTCAAACATTTGCTATACTGTAATTGGCTCAACACTCGGAATCTCTCCACCTTACGAGGATCAGTTCTAGGACTCCCACCTCCCTCCTTGGATCTTTAGAGCAGAGCCAGGTAGCCGTCACATATAAAACTGGGGGGGGAATTTAGCGGAGAATCGCCGGGACCCGAGCGTCTGAAAACGTCGAATGCAATTTGCTTTTAACACGTTGACGACCGCCGTTTACCGGCAATCAATCAAACATTTTCGATTTTTCTCGTTTCATTCTCTACCTTAGGCATTGTTCATAGTTTTGGAACCATCGGAATATTCGAATCTGCGAAAAGAAAAAGATACGTATCGACCAGGAGAATTTCCACACGCGCGAACGCGGATGCGAAAAGGTTTAGATACGTATCGACGTAGTAAACCACGCCCTATTAGCGTTGCTAGAGGATTTTCGCACCGCCGTTTCGATGCTGCGATCTCCGATTGACTGATCGATAGACACTAATTCCTTTCAAGAGGATTCGCAGATTCCAATGCGCGATTCGAAGCCCCTCCCATTTTGTGGATCGATACGCACTTCATTCATTTCGCATTTGCGCAGATTCGTTCGGTTCGAGCGTCCTCCTCTCGTGGCGCAAACTATGAACAATGCCTAAACTTGCTGTTCCAGTGCAGTGTGGTGGGACATCATACCAAACGGTCGTCAACGTGTTAATAATGCTCTATGTGACTAATCTTTATGGAGGGAGGACCCCAGTATGTATAAATCTTCATTTCCCTCCACTCCCTGTATTTAGTTAGTACTAGGGAAATGGGAATTGGTTCACTTGACTCACAAACGCTTCTTTGCATGATACGGACACTCAACTCGCACAACAGACGAAAGACACAAAAAATGGTGCAAATCCACAAGCAATTTGTAACTTCAGAAGACTTCTTGCGCTTCTTGAGCAAAATTAGGAAGTAAAGAAAGTAGTAAGCAATGAATGGAAGATCAAGGCGAATGAAAACATATCCCTGATCATACACACCATAAAAGTACAAAGTTACAAGCTCGCCCACTAGGAGAGAACATACACCTAGCGCGAAATTATGACTAGGGCTGCTTGCAGTAATTTGGCAGAACGCTAAATGTTTTGTTAGCCCAGCATTATAGAAGAACCACAAATGGCTGCAACTCGATGGTAATCGCTTCGTGAAGGTTGGTATCACACTGTGACAGAAAGCGGCCATCTTTTTCTGCACCTAGTAGTCGTGTCACACTCGTGTTACTAGAAGCTTCGGTTAGAGAAAAGTCGACTGGAGCGTAGGTAGAGCAACTTGTGCGAAGGCATCCATGATTTGACAAATAATTCCAACTTCACTTGGTTAACCTACTGCGCAAGCACTCTGGTTCACACTCTTCGGAGCATGCCAAGCCGAAAAAAATAGGACTGCTGTCGTCGTAACGAATGATTGCCGCAATTTCTCTCCGTCCTCCATCACACCCAAAAAATCAGAGAATGAACCAGGAAATTCTTTGAGAAACACAGCATCACCATATAAAGGAAAGACAGGTTGTGGCGTGAAAATAAATAGCCCGTGTTGTCGAGTGTAATTACGTACTGCTGGCACAGCACGCTTGATTTCACGCCTTCTTTAGGTAAGACATTTTGACAAAAACTCTGAAGAGAACTCGAATTTCCTTCTGCTAACTCGTCAGGAGAGCCAAAGCTTTAAGTTCTGGTTGACATGGTTCCATGATTCACAACATTCCTTTGTGCTAAATATAAACAGGTTTTGTGCAGAGTGGCAATGAAAAATGACGAATAATTGAGTACCAAATTAGGAAAGTGCCTGCCGATCATGATATGTGTAACATAATTATCTGCAAAGAAACAAAACTCTCGGAACAAAGGAAAAGCGAACGGCATTTATATATGGGACCACCATCGACAAGGATCAAAACATCCTGAAAAGGAGGAAAAGCGAACGGCGATTATATAAGGAAATAAGTATCTACAAAGGATCAGAACATCTTAAGAACGAATAGCAATGTAATAATGAGACTGAAAAGAAGGAGAACCATTTTCAGATCGGCGTCGCGCAAAAATTAGCCTTACTGAGCGATGGGCTGTATTGAAGTCGCCGAGTTAAGATGGCTGTGAGCCTCCCTGGAACAGTTGTCGGGCCGTTGCGCTGTATCTGGAGGTATCTCGTCCATCTTCAGAAGATAATTACATCCACGTCTGAAAATGGTGAAGCTAAGGATATTTGACCTAAATCGGGTTAGCTCCATGCGGTGAAGCAATGATGATGTGATAGATTTCCATCGCCCTATTCTCTTGATATCGTCTTCTGACACCCCTTATAAATGCTGCAGTTGCCGCTCCCCGTAAAGAATGTGGGGTCAAGCCCTTGTAGTGTAAGCCAGCGCAACAGAAAATCTTGTGTATCCAATTCCTTGAGGAATCTGTTGTTGGAGGGAGCCCTGAGGGGAAAGCGGAAAAAAATTGTAGCCTTTTTATGCTGCAATTGATGAATGAATTTGTCCCACAGTATTTGATACACATACCCCGGTGACTTTGAACGGCACTGTGGAGCCTCGCTTGAACTGGTGCGTCTTGGAATTGGGTATGAGGAGCCACCAAGGTCCTGCGCCTTTGTCCCGAAATGCGGGAAGAGGCGAGGAGCGAGAGAAGAATCGCATGCGTCCCAGATGTGTTCATGTGCTCATTCTGAATTGCTCAAATAATTCCTGTATCTATGTCCCTTTGTGAGCCTTCTTTCTATCCAATACTGCAGTGGCTTCCCTTTTTGCGGAATCTACAAGAAGTCTTAAAGCTACGCTTCCACGCTCTCCATGCGGCCGTAGAAGAAGTTTAGGGATGCCAGAGCCATAGGTATGCTTTTGGGTACGTCTTTATATCAAGGAGGCGATGAAAAGATTCCTAAATTTCCCCAACTGAGATCGCGATATGGAGAGAGAAGCTGTGAAAGCCTCGAAGCGGCTCCTCATGGACGAGTAAGCGGACATTGTGCTCTGGGCAAGCGAGTTGGTGGCGGATTTGCCCACGATTTGGGCTAACTCTTCCAATCCTTCATCGCGAGCTGTTGCGATTGTTTCGGACCATGCCATCCACCTGGGGCCTAAAAAAGTAACAATGTTGGTCAAAAATATGGGAGGTGAGTGGGTACTCTCTGAGCAGAAATAATCCGGAATGGATACTGTCAGAGACGCGTGACCTGACAAACCTCTAACTATACCTGAGTCTTCGCGCCTTACGAAATCCCTTGACCGACTGATCGACTGGCTTATCATACGCAAAACGACGATTTTGACTCCAAAACTCCGTGAAAACTCCATTTTGCTTCTGCTAACTCCTCGGAAAATATAAAACACGAGGGTTACGTATGAACGGCAAAGTCGATTTCAGCGAACATACAATCAAAGTTCACGCATGGAAAACGAAGTGTGAAAGATGGCGAATCTCCTCTTATAAGAGCTCTTCCTTCAGGAACAACAAAAGTGTCTAAAATTTCTGGGATCCGGCGTGTCTCTTCACGAAGAGATAGAAACGAGAGGTGAAATTGCCAAAAAGGAAACCTTTGACACCTCTCCCATTAAAGCTTTAGCTGTACGATTGCCACTAGATGAGCAGGAGGGAAACACTATATTTTTTGGAGCCAGAATCCAGATTCTGATTCGCTGAAGACGTCGACGGCCGAGAAGCCCTCGCAGTATCATCTGAGAACAAACGTTTCGTGTTTCTTGTTATTTGCATCTGTGAACATATCTAAGGTTTAACGAGTGAAAATCGAGGAGCCATATCATCGATACGTTTCTGTGAGAAGAAATGACGTTAAGCATGAAGAACGCGACATTTGACGGCCCGATTACATCAGCATACAACATCCTTGCTTTTTACTACTGGTCTTTTCTTGAGGCGGTGGCGCATTTGGTGTGTACTTGGGAATTGACACTATGTTCTGCTGCTGCTGTAAATTTTTTTGCTGCTCCTCATCTGGCATCGTTGATTTGACCGCTTCGTCAGCGGCTTCGTCTACTTCGTAAGGTCCCCAAAGTTCGTTTAGTTTGTCAAAGACTGAGTAAAGTATTGACCATCCATTCAGGTCTACAATCCTGGAAGCATCATCTGCTTCGTCGTTTAGCTCCCTGGGTATCCAAAACCTTTGCATATCTATTCTCAGTTGTTCGACTTCCAATATTTGCGAAGCAACTGTTGTAAAACCTTCATGGTGCTCTCCTTAAACACTGTTCGCGCTGCCTGACTATCCGTTTGAATCTGGACCTCGTTACTAATAAGGTGGCTGCCGCACAGCTCTCGATGACATCTGGGCCACACCCTTCACAGCGTAGACCTTACATCTCCATTAATTTGAGTGCTCGTCCTCAAGCTCTTAGCATCTGTCCGGGTGTGTCCTCCAGAATCAAGGAGTGGATATTCTTCGAAGAATGCCATTATGAATCTTCATGACCAGTTTTCCTCGAATCTCACTTTATTACTGACTCACCAACTGATGTTGTTCACAAAACAGAATACGCATTGTGATCTGGGCGCGGATGTGTCTACTAGTAACTCTAGAGTTGCTCCACACTGTCAATTCGATCAGCGGGTGAGGCCACAATACTGAACAGCGACTCGATTGTGGCGGCGGTAGCTTCCAGCTTTGGCGAAAGCATAGTTGGGCTCAAACATGGTAGCCGTGTTCACTATCACTTGTATGCGGTATATATATATTTCTGTTTCTATTTGCAACAGTGCTGCATGATGAGACCTACAAAAATCAGAATGCTCAACTACCCCATATGGCACAGTCCTCTAAACAGAATATATCCGCTCATAATTCGTTTCTTTTGCAATGCAGTGGACGAGGAACCACAC